GCTCAACTATATTTATTGCAGTATTATTCACGATTGCTAAGACATGGAACCAACCCAAATGTCCACAAACAGATTAATAGATTGAAAAAGTGTGGCACATATATTCCATGAAATACTATTCAGCCATAAAAAACAAAACCCTGGAATTTGATAGAAAATGGACGAATATGGAAGATTTATTGCTGAGTGAAGCAAGTCAGGTTATGAAACAGAGACATTGAATGTCTCTGTTTCTGTGGTAGAGACTAAAAGACTGCAGGACATAATAACACTGGAAATTGTTATGGACACTGGGGACAAAGTGGAAGGAGACTGGTAGAAGGGAAAAGTACAGGAAGGGAAATTTGGGAAAAACTGGTTAAGACAGACATTTGTGGGTATAGTTTGTGGCCTGTTGATGATGTTGTGTATAGTATTCTCATCTCGCTTGATGTGCGGTTTATATCATGTTAGGTAAAATCTCTTTACTATCTAAATGACCTATAGCAATTGACTCTAAATAATAAATAATTATAATAAGTAATAAATAATAGGAAAAAATTCTCACTTAAATATAAAAAGATTATGTTTCAAAGATTTTATTTAATTTAATGAAGGAATGAATAAGATGTTTAGACTAGTCAAAGAATGTGAAGATATTTTATATGGACACTCAGATCAGAAATGCTGAAATGGGGTCAGCCCTGCAACATAGCAGTTAAGTCCTGTGCAGTGGAAGCTAGATTCCACATAGCTGATGGTGTTTTAATCTGGCTTGGCTCAAAAAACATTCTTACATATGTGTATGCAAGCCACAAATCCTGATGGGATGGAGAAAAATGGATTACAGCATACCACACCCCATATAGGTACTTTTTCTCTCTCCTTGTCTGTCTGTCTGTCTCTCTGTTGAGTACAAACATTTATGGCAATTAAAAAAATAAAAAAAATGCTGAAATAAATTTATCAATAGGTACAAAATTTATTAATATCTTTTAGGGTGATAAACTATAATGCTTGGTTTATCTTTTCTACAGAACAGAGTTGTATTTCTACTGGTCAAAGGTATGTACTCCTACAGAATGAGATAATCCCTGGAAGGCCCACTTTGAAATGCTGTCTTTGGTGTCAATATTGGTATAATGGCATCACCCAGTTATTGCTCTTCTCAATTTTCAGGCCATAGTCAATTTTTTCCAATATAAGCTAGACTGAATTTAGTTATATAAGAAAAAAAAAAGTTTCATTTTTACACATCTGAATCTTGTGAAGTGTAATGAGCATGAAGTTTTAAAATGCTATACAGTAAAAAAGGGATAACTGGCAAGCTGTAGATCCCAGAAAACATGGAAGATGAAGTGTGGCCTCTGGGAATTGAGATGGGTATCTGGTAGCCTCAATTCATTTAATATATTCATTATACTCATATCTATCCAGCAATTCACAGTGAACAGAAGGAATAGTATTTTTTCCTCCCACGTAAAATTTGCCAGTTTTCTTGAGAAGCAGGTTAGTCAGCATCAACACAGCAATAGCTAACAATTATTGAGGGTTCATGTTGTCTCACACACTTCTAGGGGCTTTACAGATATGTTCTCCTTTACTTCTCTGAACAAAAGGAATATTATCATTCTCATTTTGTAAGTAAGAAAATTGAAGCCCACATGATTAAATACCTAATCAGTAGTAAAACCAGAATACAGACAAAGACACTCCTAGCATTAGTACTTTTAGATAACTTGTCACAGCCCTCATTAGCAGAAAAACTTAAGAGAAGGGCTACAAAGGAAAACTTGGGAGAGTAACTAGATACATGTCAGAGCACCCACAGAGCTATCCTGTGAAAGTATAAACTGAAAAATCTCCTTCCCATCCCTATCTATGTACAATACAGGGAAATGAATCAAAGTTTTAAGTTCTACTCCTCCTTTGTGGTGTTTTGAGTAACTTCCTAATCATTTCTGTAAAGGAATACCACCTGGTTGGGGTATTTTCTACACAAGAAAGATTAATATAGTAGTATCACGAAGAGAACTAAATCTAATTCCTGATCACTTGTGAATTTTCTTTACACATAATGAGGAAATGATAACCACAGAAGATAGCAAACATCTCTTGAACACCAGAAAGAGAGCAGTCACTTGATCTGTCTCCCCTCTAATGCGAGGTTGGGGTGCAGTCTTCCCCTCCAGACAGTGACCATACTGCAACTGTAATGGTAACTGGAGTTTAAGTTTCAGAAGTGGAATGGCTTCAAGGGATGCTGAGGTCCAGGGTGTGGCGTGGGAGTGGATGACTATAGCGAGGCAAAGTTTGAGCCCAAGGTGTTGAGCAGGTAGTTCCATGCATGCCGGATAAACTCAGAATGATAACAGGTCTTAAGAGATCACTCTTGTTTAAATTATGGGATTACTTAATACAAATGATAGCAAATAATAATAATAAGAGTATCAATGAATGGTCAAGTAGAATGACCTCAACTAAAAAGAAGGGTTCGGGACAAGTTATCTGCAGGTTTTAGGAACCAGAGGAGAGTGCTTTGACTTCACAGACTAGAAGTATATAGAATTACTAATGCATCTGGGACCAGCAGTTGGCGTAATGGCTATGTCTCTGAACTCCCATGTAGTTGACAGTGGTCTGAGTCCTGGACCCGGTGGCTTATACTCACGCCAAGCGTGTGTGCGTGGGTGCCCAAATCCCAAGAGGAGAATGGAGGAGAAGGGACTGCGGCATGGCCATTCCCCCTGGGGAGTGATTTCTCGCTTTCTGTCTCTCTGGCGAGTGCACACGCCCTATAGCAAAAACCTCTCCAGAAAAAAAGAATTACTAGTGCATCAGTGTCTCTACCTAGTAATACATGTTTTGGTCCTTATTTAAACCCAGTAGTTAATGGCACCACCTAAGTGAAATAGTTGATAGATTTTATGATAGAAAAATTGTCAATTTTTTTCACCGACAGGATTACAATGAATGAATTAACAAAGGATAATTCATATTATCACAATTTTAGCTCAATTAAGATTACCTTTATTACATAATAAGCCTGTGTTTTTGCCTCTTCTCCATCAGGAGGCAGCATAACAACAGTAAGAATTTCATATCTATTCTTCAGCTTATCAATTTTACTCAGTCGTTCATGAAATTCAGCACTATAAGAAAAGAAAAAGAATAATTAAACACTGAAAAACTGTTCTCTTTTTTGTTTTTTTAAGAGAAAGATTTTTGTTTTAGGGCATGTGCATGCGCCAGAGAGACAGAAGGAGACAAAGAGGCAGAAAGCGAGAAATCACTCTCCGGGGGAAATGGCCACATCGCAAACCCTTCTCCTCCATTCTTCTCTTGGGATCTTGGGCACACATACACACACACCTGGCATGAGCTACAAGCCACTGGTCTGGACTCGAACTGCGGTCAGTCATGTGGGAGTCTAGTGACATAAATTATGCCATCTGTCCCAAAAAACACTGTTGAATATTCTCATTTTTACTAATTCAGTGTGAAAGGACTCAGATTTTACCTTATTTGAAAGCTAACAGGTTAGCCTACTACAGTTTCAAGGATGCTGGCAGAAGACATAAGATTCCTATGTCAGAGACAAGGACTTTATTACTTAGGGCACAGCAAGTAGCATGAGCTTTCTGTTTGCATTGTCCCACTTAGTCCCCATGTTCTATGGGGACAAAGAGGAAGTTAAGTAGATGCTACAGCAGGTTTGTGTAACAACTGAGGAACCTCAAGATTAGGTAACTCAGATATATCATGGGAAATAAGCAAATATGCCTAACTTTTGCTCCAGAGGCAGATACCACCTGAAGATTTTGAGGTTATTTGCTATTCAAATATTTTTTAAAAGATAGTCCAGGAAAGGCCAGTTAGTGGCTCTCCTTGCAAGGTATGTAAATATGAGAAACTTATGGAGAACTGGCTCCCAATATTCAGATTCAGATTATTAAATCTACTGATTACCTTTCCCTTTTATTTCAGAACGTTTATATCTAATGAGATAGTTTTTAGAATTATGTTTTTTTAATTGCCAGAGTGAGCAAACTTGCAAGAGTGTCAAATAGAGGGATGAAGAAAGCATGCCCCAAAATAGCATAGTCATTTTGCAATCCCTTCTCCTCCACTTCTCCATACCACTGGGATTTGGGGCATGTACACACACACACACGCACACCTGTCTGTGTGCATAACTCAGGTCACAGTCAGCCATATGGGATTCAGTTCTCTTAATCAGTAGCCAAATTGGGCCAGCCCATAACTAATTTTATAATAATCATAGTAATGTTAACAGTAACTATATATTTACCAGTATCCATTGAAACAGATTTCAGATAAATGGCAAACATTAATCTAAGAGATTAAACTAATCCAGTTAGTAGCAGTGAACATTTGTCTAATTTTTATAATAAAAATTATAAATGAAAAACCACATAAAATAGAATATTCTTTTTTTTTTTTTTAGAATTATGTTTTTTTAATTGCCAGAGTGAGCAAACTTGCAAGAGTGTCAAATAGAGGGATGAAGAAAGCATGCCCCAAAATAGCATAGTCATTTTGCAATCCCTTCTCCTCCACTTCTCCATACCACTGGGATTTGGGGCATGTACACACACACACACGCACACCTGTCTGTGTGCATAACTCAGGTCACAGTCAGCCATATGGGATTCAGTTCTCTTAATCAGTAGCCAAATTGGGCCAGCCCATAACTAATTTTATAATAATCATAGTAATGTTAACAGTAACTATATATTTACCAGTATCCATTGAAACAGATTTCAGATAAATGGCAAACATTAATCTAAGAGATTAAACTAATCCAGTTAGTAGCAGTGAACATTTGTCTAATTTTTATAATAAAAATTATAAATGAAAAACCACATAAAATAGAATATTCTTTTTTTTTTTTTAAGAGAGGTTTTTGATATAGGGCGTGTATGATCACCAGAAAGAGAGAGAGACAGAAAGCAAGAAATCACTCCCCAAGGGGGTGGCCACACCACAATCCCTTATCCTCCATTCTCCTCTCGGGATCTTGGGCATGCACGCACACATGCCCAGCATGAGTTTAAGCCACTAGGTCCAGGACTCGAACCGCAGTCGACTATATGGTAATCCAGCAATGTAATTGCTATGCTGGTCCCAGATATGATGTCTTTAAAAGACTTTATGTGCCCAGTCCCATCTGAAACCCCCTAATGAGTCAGGGAAACTGAGGAAGAGCCTTTTACTGGTCCCAGCCCCAGTTCCAGCCCCAGCCCAGTTCTCCCAACCTCAAAGCTACCCACCTCTCTGCCAGAAAGGGCAGGCCTCAGCTCTCCAGCAGAGCCCAGTTCCATCTGCAGCCCCTTGGCCAGTCAGGGGAAACTGAGGCAAGGCCTTTCACTGACCCAGGCCCCAGCTTCAGCTCAGGTCCCAGCCCAGCTATCCCAACCTCAGAAAGGTAGGTTGCTTTTTCTTTTCCTTCTTTCATTTGCAAATTTCATTTGCTAATTTCCTGTTTCTTCTTACACCACACCCAGCACACCAGAAGAGCCCAATTTCATCTGCAGCCCCCTGGTGAAATTGCACCACTACTGCACAGTGCACTACCTTTTTTTTCTCTCTCATACTCTTTTTTTCTTCCCTCTTATATTGTCATCTTCTCGTCATCCTCCACCCACCCAGAGGGACTAGACAGGTCTAGAATCACAGTTTTCAAATATGCTTGTATTGTGAGGCTCCCTGGGATCCTCCCTTTTACTGAATCACCTTTGAAAAAGGAAAAATTGCTCTTTACACACCTGAATAGAAGACTCCTCCTGTGGGGACCTCATTGCTAAACACAGCAGAAGAGAGATCCACAGTAAAAGGGAAGCAAACTTGTTCCCAGTGGCAGGTACATTCTCCAAAAAGGTATCCAAAAGTGAATATATCACCCAAAGGCTAGAAGTAGAAGGAGACCCTCAGGTGTGAAATAACCAGGAAATACATCTCCATCAAAAGAACACAAATTAACTCCCCTACATCTCTTGAAAAAACAGAAGTTACCGAATGTTAGAGTAAGAATTCAGAACATTCATAGTAACAAAACTCTTATGAATTGTAACAGAAAAGAGATAATGAACTCCAGGAGATGAGGAAGTCCTTCCATGATTTTAAAGAAGAAATGGACGCTCTAAGAAAGAAACAGGTGGAACTATTAGAGGTGAAATATGTAATACAAGAAATAAAAAACTCTCTCAAAAGTATTTTTTTTTAGAGGTTTTTGCTATAGGGCGCATGCGCTCGCCAGCCAGAGAGAGAGAGACAGAGAGATAGAAAGCGAGAAATCACCCCCCAGGGGGGATGGCCACACCGCAATCCCTTCTCCTCCATTCTCCTCTCAGGATCTTGGGCAAGCACGCACACGCGCGTGGCGTGAGTTTAAGCCACCGGGTCTGGGACTTGAACCGCGGTCGACTACGTGGGAGTCCAGCGACATAGCCATTACGCTAACTGCTGGTCCCTCTCAAAAGTATTAAAAGTTGATTAGACCATGCTAAAGTTCAAATCACTGGCATAGGAGATAAAACCTCTGACCTAGGGGAAAAAAAAAAAAAAAGACAGAGAAAATAGCATAAGGAAAACAGATGAGAAATACTACATTACATTAAAATTCCAAACATCTGAATAATTGGTATCCCAGAAAGTGAAGAAACTAATAAGGGCATGGAAAATCTATTCCATGAAATCCTGGAAGAAAGCTTTCCAAGTCTAGAGAAGCACTCAAACACCCAGACCCAAGAAATACGAAGGACCCCATCTAGAATCAACACAGGAAAATCCTCCCCAAGGTACATCTTAGCCAGACTGGCCAAACCACAGATAAAGACAAGGTACTCAAATGGGCAAGAAACAATATGTGACTTATAAAGGTAACTCTATCAGGCAAACACTGGACCTTTCAACAGAAACAATGCAAGCAAGGAAAGAATGGTTAGATATATTGAAAGTATTGACAAACACACAATTTCAGTCAATATTATTATATTGAACAAGATTATCCTTCATATGGGAAATAAAGATTAAAATCTTCTGAAACTAAACCTGAAACAATTTGGCAACACCAGACCAGCTCTTTAAGAAACTCTGAAGAGAGTCCTGTTCCAGGAAAACTAAAGAAAGAATGGACAGAAGACCTCTCATTGGAAGCAATGCAAGCGAGGAAACAATGAGAATATACATTGAAAGCGTTAAGGGAAAAGCAATTTCAACCAAGAATACTTTACCCGGCAAGATTATCCTTCATATAGGAAGAAAAGACAAGAACATTCTCATATCAACAAAACCTGAAAGAATTTACCAGCACCAGACCAGATCTCCAAGATCTCAAGGGAGTGCTATTTCAGGAAAATTAAATTCAGACACACAGAAATAAGAGTTCAGAAACTAAGAAAATGGCCAACTTAATCATAGGGACAAGTCTGGAGTTGAATATTATATCCCAGAATTCAATCAGGAAGATCTAACCATGACAGAAGATAGATTAAGTACATGAGACTGAACTGGTGAAATAGCTTCTTTTTTTTTTTTTTTTTGAGGGAGAGGTTTTTGCTTTGCGATGCGTACAGCTCACCCGAAAGACAGAGAGAGAGAAAGAAAGTGAGAAATCACCACCCATCCCATCGGGGGATGGCCACACCACAATCCCTTCTCTTCCATTCTCCTTCAGGATCTTGGGCACACACGCGCCCGGTTTGAGTTCAAGCCACCAGGTCCAGGACTCGAACCACGGTCTGCCATGGGAGTTCAGCGACACAGCCATTACGCTAACTGCTGGTCTTGTGAAATAGCATTTTATGACTTTTGACTAAAATATTGCAGATTTTCTTCTAAGCTTTGTTGTCCAGTTTTAAAAGATTTTTGTCCTGTCGACCTGTCGATAGGTTCATGTACCTACTATTTGAACAAAATCCTAACCTATTTCCTGGCTTTAAGTTTTAAGCAAACTTCCTTAGCATTTCTTTGATTTATTAAAGTTAAAACTGCTTTTCTTGAAATTACCAGCTGAAATTGCTATTGAAAGTGGTTAGATTATTTAAAAAATTGTGTGATCAATAAAATGGGGGGAAGGAATGGAAGACAACTGTAGACACCAGAGACAGTGTGAGAAGATGGGGGAAAG